CACCAATACTCATCTTATTGGGACGTGATATTCCCCAGGCGCACAAGATCAGAGAGCTGAGAAATGGTCCTAACAGTGCACCATGGGGTCAGCGTCTAGACTTAGGTTGGGTCGTGGTTGGCAACATGTGCTTGGGAGGTGCCCATCAAAAGGAAGATATTACGTCGTGCAGGACCCAGGTTTTACTAAATGGGCGACCATCTGTGAATTTCGACGCTTGCCAAAATGCAATTAAAGTGAGCAACCTTGGAGATCATGTCTTCAAGAGAGAGGCAGATGACGATAGAATCGGTATGTCCATAGAAGACAATGAATTTCTTGACCTTATGAATCATGAGATGGAGAAAGACAAGGGAGGTAATTGGGAAGCCCCATTGCCATTTCGGTTCAACAGAAGTGTTTTACCCAACAACAAGAGTCAAGCAGAAAGCCGAATGAAATCCTTGATCCGAACACTGGAAAAGAAGCCTGTTATGAAGACTCACTACTTTGAATTCATGGAAAAAATTCTTCAAAAGGGACATGCAGAACGTGTTAATGATTCTCCGAACAGTGACAAAGAGTGCTGGTACCTGCCCCATTTTGGTGTTTACCATTCACAAAAACCAGAGAAGATCCGAGTGGTGTTTGATTCCAGCGCAGAATTTCAAGGCATTTCTCTGAATAGTGTGCTGTTGAGTGGACCCGACTTGGTAAACCAACTACTCGGCGTCTTAATAAGATTCAGAGAAAATCCAGTAGCTGTTATGGCAGATGTAGAACAAATGTTCTATGCATTCAAAGTTAAGGAACAACATCGAGACTACCTGAGATTCTTATGGTTTGAAGACAATGACCCAGATGCGAACCTGGTAACCTACAGAATGAAGGTACATATATTCGGTAATAGACCTTCACCAGCTGTTGCCACGCTGGGATTGCGCAGGACCGCTAAAGAAAGAGAAAGTGAATTTGGAAGTGATGCAAGGGCCTTTGTAGAATCAAACTTCTATGTAGACGATGGTTTGAAATCGTTTGCATCAGCCAGAGAAGCTGTTGATTTGCTGACACGTACCAGAAACATGTTAGCTACAGCCAACATTAAACTACACAAAATAGCGTCAAACGATAAAGAAGTTATGGCAGCCTTTGCTCCTAGTGATCTTGCACCAAATGTTCAAGAAGTCGATCTTGGGTCAGACGCACCGGTTATGCAAAGATCATTGGGAGTGTATTGGGATATGAGGTCTGACACCTTTACGTACAAAATATTACAAGCAAATGGCGAACCAAGTACCAAGAGGGCTGTCTTGTCAGAAATTAACAGTGTGTACGATCCCTTGGGCTTTGCAGGGCCGGTCATCATAGAAGGCAAGATGCTACTAAGAGAAATAATAGGAGAAAACAAAGTCGGATGGGACGAGCCTTTGCCACAGCAACCTCTAGAAGCTTGGAAGAAATGGAGATCATCCATAAATGAACTCTCGCAAGTCAACATTCCAAGAGCTTACACTCCATTTCCAGCTAAGGAGGCAGTACGTCGTGAACTTCATATATTTGGCGACGCATCCAGCCGAGCAATCAGTGCTGTCTCGTATCTCAGAAGTGTAAACAAGTCTGGAAAGCCTTATGTGTCATTTGTGCTAGGGAAGTCAAAACTGGCACCTAAGGCGGCTACAACAATACCACGTATGGAGTTGTGTGCGGCTGTGCTGGGTACAGAAGTTTCAGAGTTAGCCGTAACAGAATTAGATCTCAAGATAGATGCAGTGTACTTTTACACTGATAGCAAAGTGGTAATGGGCTATATCACCAACAGGACACGTAGATTTTATCTTTACGTGTCGAACAGAGTTGCAAGGATCCTCAGGGTTAGCAAACCTGAATACTGGAAGTACATACCCACTGCTATGAATCCAGCTGATGTAGGAAGCAGATCAATCAAGGCGAAAGACCTACAAAATTCGCCGTGGTTACAAGGACCAACATTCCTACATAAGTCGTCATTACCACCCAGTTTAGAAACCGACGAAACGAATTATGATGACGACCTGGACAATGATCCAGAAGTGAGAAACACTGTGTCCGCATATGCTACCGAAGTCGAGATGACTGGTGTACTGGAATCTCATCGGTTTAATAGATTCTCTAGTTGGTTAAAGCTGTTACGAGCAATTGCAAGTTTAATATTGCTTGCAAACAAGAGTAAACGCAAGGCAAATGTGATAAGTGACAAAGACAGGTATGCCTTGGCTGCAAATATTGTCATAAGGACTGTGCAACATGAAGCCTTTGGGGATGAGATTAGTAGCTGTCTCTTATACACATCTAGATGTGTATAAGAGACAGATATGTACCTTCATTCTGTAGGTTACC